CTCTCTCTCTCTCTCGCTCTCTCTCTCTCTTTCTTCCTCGTTCTCTCGGTCTCTCGCTCTCGCTCTCTCCTTCTATCTCACTCTCTCATCTTCTCTCTCTCTCTTTCTCTCTCTCTCTCACTCTCTCTCTCTCTCTCTCTCTCTCTCTCTCCTTCTTTCTCTCTTCTTTTCTCCTTCCTCTCTTTCTGCATCTGTCTGTCATAACCTGTAGCCCGAGTTGTCCTTGATAGGCAAGGTAGGAAGCCGGCCTCCTACATGTCTAGATTACGTCGAAGGGGGTGTAAAACACCTATATTACAACCCCCCCTTCCCCCCGCCAGGATAATTGGACTCACCCATCAGTCAAGCAGAAGATTGCAGTGCTTGTGGCAGACGGACTTCCTGACCTCGAGGTTGCAGACGTCCCGGAAGTGACGCTAGCATCAGACGTGACGCTGGTCGCTGACGTCACACTCGTCCCGGAGCTTCCCGACGTCACAGATTGCTGGGAGGTCTCAGAGGTCAAGGACGATTGCGAAGTTGGCGAGGATGGTGAACTCTTGGAGGTCACGGACTGTTCTGACGTCACTGATGTTGCCGAAGTTGCAGACGGACTCCTGAGCAAAGAAAAGTAGTAAAAGTAAACTTGCACCTTCTCCTCATTAGGAACTGACTTGACTTTGTAAATGGACCCAGGGTCACTGTAAGGGTCATCGTGGGGTTACTATGTTTTACATGAGTAGGCTGCTATCGCCAGTGCGCGCCAAGACATTAGGGGTTAAACTCTACTTTAACCCGAAAATACATTCAAAACGGGTAGGTGATTTTATTTGGAGTTCACGCACATGGAGCGATGGAAGCCCCTAACGTAATAAGAATCATTAATTAATTAGACCCCTCCCCCCTCCCCGAAAAAGCAACAACAGCTTTGTCCTTACTATAATAATAGCTTGGTACCTGTTCGATGAGCGGACTCAAAAGAATAGATTGTCACGTCTTTGTGGAACTAGTGCGTACTGCTTGTGAACTGAAGCCTCATTTATTTACAATGGCGTCTTAGGAGACGGACTTTCCCAAGATTATATCTAAACGAACTAATTAAAAACTGAAAATTAAACTACAGTGATTTCAGACTCCTTAATATAACTGTGCACCTTGTGAATGATTCTGTACCACCCGTTACTTTTTTTAAATTCGAAAGTTAAGTGGTTCGGGGGTTTAAAGCGACCAAAGTGACAAACTTTCCTAAATATAATATACATGTATATAGATGTATGCCCGTCCTTAGCTCAGTTGATATCATGCAGGGCTTGGGCGTGGATTTCTTTGTGTGACTACACTATTAGATGTTTGTGACTACACAATTAGATGTTTTTGGCTACACAATTAGATGTTTATGACTACACATTAGATGTTTGTGACTACACATTAGATGTTTGTGACTACACATTAGATGTTTGTGACTACGCTATTAGATGTTTGTGACTACGCTATTAGATGTTTGTGACTACGCTATTAGATGTTTGTGACTACGCTATTAGATGTTTTTGAACTTCACAAACACTTTTGTTTGTTTGATGGGTTTTTTTAGGGGGGGGGGGTCTTTTTGGCTCTCTACTAATTTGGCTGAGGTTTAATTTTCTTTTAAGCCATTTCTGTCTCATAAAAACTCAAATAGCAAGGTTTAAAATCTAGATACCGTTTACCTCCATTCTATTCATTAAGAATACTTCTAAAAAGAGAACTAGAAATCCTCTGTTTTTGATTTCCCAATAAGCTAGTTTCTTTAGTAAACAGTTTTTGACTGCCATGAGCTGCATCGAGGTAGGGCTGGAAAATAAGGGGGATGTATTCAGCCAAAGAAAAACGTCACTTCAGCCCCTCCCCTCCCCCTTCCAGAAAAAAACGAAAAAAGGAAAGATGAAAGAGAAGATCTAGATCAACCGCACATACTTTGAAATAAAACAAAAACAACGAAATAAACATTATCATCATCCAGTGCCAGATCTGCGACAGACATCGGCGATCATGGTTTTCTATTCATTCCTTTGCTCGGATGCTCTAAAAAAGCTACGTTTCCCTGATCTTTTCCTATTACCCATTTGTTTAGGTTCCCTAAGTATGATGTTCTGGGCCTTCCCCTGCCTCGCTTGTCCTAAATTTTGCCAGTGAGAGCTAGATGTTCAAGACCCTTATGTCTAATCAGGTGTCCCAAAAACTGCATTTGTCGTTTCCTGATTGTTTTTAACATTGAGCGTCCCACGTGGGCTTCATCAAACACTACCTCATTTGATTTCTTTTCCTTTCACGATACTCTTAGCAGTCTCCTAAGAAACCACATTTCTGTTGCTTCTATTTTATGTTCACTGTCTTTAGTGATTGTCCAGCATTCACAGCCATATAGAAGGGTTGACCAAACATAGCCTTTCAGGACTTTCATTTTGATGTTCATTGAGATGTTTCTATTTTTCAGGATTGGGCTTATTTTATTGAAACTAGCCTTAGCCATTGTAGTCCTCCTTTTTATTTCTGTGGAACATTTGGCGTCAGATGTTATCATATATCCGAGATATTTAAACTGTTGGGCTTGTTTGATCTTTTCATCTTTGCTAATGAGATTACAACTAAGGTTTGCTGCTTTTTTGTATACATGTATTACCATGCATTCTGTTTTCTTTACATTCAACAATAATCCTTTACGTTCACTTTCTGTTACAACAGTATCTAGAACATTATATGACTTAAAAAAGGACACAAATATTACGTATTGTCGAAAAAAGCCCAACTTATGGTCATAGATACGGGCATGACTACAGTGAATACAACATCACTATCTGTCACTGACAATCTTCATTTTTTTGTTTTTACCGTTTTCCCATTTTAAATCAGTGCTACTGTTTGTTTTGTTTTTGTTTTTTTAACTGAAAAGGCACACTCTAGTGAGAACAAGTTTGATTTTAGCCTCAGTAAAATTCCCCAAAAAACGAAATTAATCTAGTCTTAGTAAACGTTTTACGGCACTCGCAACACAAATGGGTCACGTTAGCGCCGAAAATTACTACAGTGCTACATAAAAGAAGGGGAAGGGGGTGGGGGGTGTAAGGACGATAGATGTTTGGTAGGAATAATTTAAAGGAGCAAACCACACCAGAGTAACCACCAATCAACTACCAAGCAACATTTAAAAAACTGGTCTCGACAATCATAATGAAAATGAGTATAATGACAGAAATAATACTGTGTAAATGATAGCCGAAAATCTACTCACCCGCTTACCATTGACGTAAGCGACACCACAGAGGTCTGCGAGGCAGCTGAAGTAGTTCTGATAAGCAAAAACAAAACAAACAAAAAATAAATACAAAGAACTAACAAAACAAACCACAACCTACCCCTCCAAAAAAAAAAGAAAAAAAAAGTTTAAAAATCCAAACCAAAGCAAGTGAAGTCTAACACATTTCAAGAAAAGCACCAAACAACAAAGACAAAACGAATAACAAAATATACCAAAAATATAAAAAAAACCAAGAAAAATGTCAGCACAAAACAAGCAAA